ATCTCGCAAGCGTGCAAACTCCTGTGTAAGGAACAAACAGGTGTCCAACGGGTTCTTAACACTCCCTGCTGATGGACATCCAAGTTGCTTCAGTCCGTTCACATCAAGTCTCATCACTGCTTCCCGCAGTGACAGGGCTTCCCCTCGAGTCGTAACTCCAAGCAAGTTGTTGATTCTCCTGAACAACTCGTATCCGCAAGTGAGTCCTCCCTGCTCTCTTTCCTGCAGGACTGCGAGGTCCAATCCTCTCTTGTATCCTGACATTGCTTGTTTCATCCAGTGATACAGTTTACTACTCCTCACTGCGGCTTCAGGGGCAAGTTTCCCTTGCTCAATGGTAGTTGTTTGTTTCACTGCCTCTTGCAATTCCGCTGCGTAGCACTCATCCAAAAGACACAACCACGATCCAAATCGCTCTCTGAAAGATAACCAGGTGTTGATCTCATGTCTTCTTCCTGAATCTTTGATCTCAAGTTGTGGACAGTTCGGTATGTAACTCTCCATCTTTCCTCCACTGCTTCCAGAATATTTTGAATCAGATTTCTTGGGCGCTGAGGTGAACAGTGATCCTGCTCTCGGTGTAGTGGACGTAGCAGCTTCTTCTGCAGCTTTCCTCTCCTCTTCTGCCTTTCTCTCACGCTCATCCGCTTCGCGTTGAGCTTGGTCTTTCAAGACATCAGTCTGCATCTGAACCAAACCTGAAACTAGCTTGGCCAGTTCTGAAATTTGCGCTCCTTGTCCAGCAATCAAGTTCTGCTGTTGAACAATATTTTGATGCTGGTTTCTCAATACTTCGATCAACGCTTCCTGCGTCAATCCCTGTCCTCCTGTAGGACTCGCAGGCATCTGAGGTGAGTTGAAATTGTCTTGAAACGTTCTCCCCGTTGGGGTAGCGCTGTTCGGTACCGGTATCTCTGCAGCAGCACTCTCTGCTGGATCTGGTGGTGGAGATCTTTCTCGACCTGTGTACTCTTCCATACTCACTGGTCGCCTCCTCGCTGGCGATGTTGTCCGTCGTTCGGTAGGACTGGACATTCTTCCTGGGAGCTCCACGCTCCGCTACCACGAAAAAGATCGGGTAGCAACCTTATACGGTAGACTACCTACCTCCCCTGGATCTTTAGCTCACCAGGCTCTCACACTCGTCCGGTACGGTACGAAACCTTTCCCTCACACCTCCGAATACTTCGGAAAACTTCAAACGCTGCACAAGCTGCTCTCAGACACTCGCACCCTTTTCTCACACTAGCCAAACGAATTGGCCTTGAGCCAAAACATGTCCCGTAGCACTAAACTACACAAAGAATACACGAAAAACATGTTAAAAGTCTCTTAAAGCATCTCCACATACAAAGAACTCTTTCAAAACTTCCGACTACGCTACAAGTCGCTTTCAAACAATTAAGAAACAAAATGTTGTACCACCAGGTTCCAAATCTTTCACAAACAAACTTAAACTAAATTTATGCATCGCAAACTGCAAGCATCGAGCGAGGTGGACATCCCGACATGGAATTTCTTCAAGATGGCTGCCTCCATCGACAATGTTACCGACACTCTCCAGCGCACAACATTCGGAGAATGCTCGAACACCAAACTCAACACATCCCGGCATTTCGGCTGCCTGTAGGGAGTAACATCCTTGGAAAGCTGCATATCCTAACGTCACAACCGTGTCCTGGCACCAGGGGCACAGCTGGGCAAATATGCATTTGAGAGTTGCCTCAGGACCTTCGTAGGGGCTTGGAGGGGGCTTAAGCCCCCTTCGAAGGGGGGCTTAAGGGGGGCTAAGGTGGAAACCGGCGGAGCCAGCCACAGTCTATGAACCTCTATAGAATTAAAAATATGAAAAAAATGTAAAAAAAAATGCAACTGCCAAATGTAACTTTTTCAGCTGTTTTTGCGGTGTTCTCAGTCAACTACCTTGTCTTGAGGGAAGTTCAGCGGTGAACCACTTCAAGAGCTTTGTCAGTCAGCCAGAATTGTGTGGTTTCTAGGAAGTTTAGGCATGCACTACAAAACACATTGGACAGTGAATGCGACAATATATGTTCTGGGGGTTTGCATCCAGGACATATTGCAGTTCTTGGCCGGGGACTGTTGCATTCCAGTCGAACATTTGAAAGAATAGATTCAATAGATTAGATTGAATCGCCTGCCAAATGTTTGAGGTGTTCTCAGACTACTTGGCCCTAAAAATTTGTTGGACCTGTGCCAGCGCTAGTTTTACTTGGGCTGTAAAAGTGAATTTCGACCTTTGGGTGGGGCAGCTTTTTGTTCCTTTACTAACTTTACTACGTGATGTTGTTGAACAGAACAAGGAAACATGCCCATGGGAAAGGCAGTATCAGTACTGTAACCGTTACCAAGGCAGCGACAGGGAAAGTTTGCAGGAGCCTGGATGTCAGGCAAGCCCTTTTCAAGCGTGCAGTTGTTTTCATTGCAAAGTGAAGTGAAGTGTTTGTGTGGGCGCCCTTTTTTACTTAAAACTTCTCTGGCAAAAATTCCTTTTTAAGGCGTTAATTAATTGATAGTTAGACAGTGATAGACCACAAATTTCAAGGCTGCCATGAGACATGGGGTCAGTGAGTCAATGGGCCAAGTACATCCCGGCGCCTTGCACCAAGCAGCTACAATGCTGGCTAGTGGCTAGCGACTAGCGGACTAGCGCTAGCAGCATCTAGGCGACCAGTCTAGCCAGGGACCCAGGACCAATTTGTATCCGACGCGTCGCAGTAGCCACAGCTAGTGGCAGCTAGCTAGCCACTAGTCACTAGTCACTAGTCTAGTCACGAGTGACGAGTGAAGTGTCAAATTGGCCAGCCGTCGGGTCGCTCAAAAAACAGTGGCAGCGCGCACTGCACATGTAGCATCCGGCGGTGATCTGTTGTCGGATATCGGATATCGGCTTCCGGGATCAACAGTTATTAACTATCGGTTTTCGGGTCGGGTATTGTTGGCGGCAACACGCGGCCAGAATATGAATCCGATATCGGATATCGGATACGCCAACCCATATATACTACATCACAACACCGTTTGCCGATTGCTTTCAAACACCCAAGTTTGTTCCACTAGAGTCACTAGAAACTGGAACCGCTCGAGTCTTGACAGTAAAGTCGCTCACACGCTCCAATCACCAATCAAGATTCCTCACTCCAGCCCCTCCACCAACTTGCACAGGCCACCTATAAGCCCTATAGGCCTACGCCCTGGATCCAGGTGGGCGGCTAGCGGCTAACGTCTAGCGATTTTTAGTCTTCTTCGCACTGCATGAGAGGCTCAAGTGTTGAGCCCAAGTGGCATGGCTTCAGACATGGGCGCGTTGGGCTCCTCTCATTGTTGGAAGGTGTAGTGTTGTTAGTGTAGTGGGACTTAGTAAAGCAAACGAAAGAGCATCTTAGATTGGACGACGGAGGCAAACTGCTAGCTGCTAGCTAGCTGCTAGCTGCTACCTAGCTAGGTCTCAACGGGTCATAGTAGTTGGGTGTGTGGCTTTGGTAGAAACTGGTGACCCAAACCTAGGACCTAGGACCTAGGACATGTGACCTAAGACTGGCTGGCCTTGTTTTGTTTTCTTATAAAGATTCAATACTCTAGAGCGTCTAGAGTTCCAGAATGGCAAAAACGGTCTGGAATTCAGACTGCTCACTGCTTGCAGCCAGTTCCAGCTAGGGTCGAATCTTATGCTTTTGAATATACTCCCCATGACTGGTCTACAGTCTACGAATGCAAGTCCCAGCCTTCAGCCTATTGTGGCCTGTTTTCTAGGGAAACTCTACACTCTAGACTCTATACTCTACACTGTGTTTTACGCTAAGTCCGGTAGGTCAGGTGTCTCTTGCCAACTCGCCCCCTAAGTCAACAGCCGGGGCCACTTCGCTAGAATCTAGAATCTAAGAGCTGCTGCCTGCGTCATTAGTGCCAGCTGCCAGTTCACCCGACAAACGCAAACGCAGCAACGGCGCTCGCAAATCTGAAGAGAACAGGGACAGGCCCACTTACAGCACCGACAACACCTCTCCGGTGGGATGTCTAGTCGAGTCTATACAGTTTTCTGATATTCATTGGTGCTTTGGCCCTTCACTTTCACCACAACTTTGCTCCTGGCAATCTGAAACAGAACAAAAAGCGTAGAATAGTATCTTTCGCTTTGAAGACGACCACAGAACATGTATGCTGAACTACAAACCAGGGCCATTCAAATTGGATTGTTTACTGGTTACTGTTGGCCTGCCCCTGAACTTCCAAGAAAAAAGGCCGTGGTGAGCATTTTACGAACCCACTTTGACTGGCCCCACCAGTCAAGCAGTGAAGCGCTGGTCCCTCAAAAGTCTTCACATGCCGGTCAACAAAGCACTGCACTGCGGGTTCCTGAAGCTCCCACATGCGACATTCGCAGAGCGAGAGTCTTGAGTGTTGACTCTTGACTGGCCAAACTCATCCAAGTGGAACTCGATGACCAAAAAATGGTTGCGAAGCTTGAAATCAAACTCAGTAAGTCTTTGTGTCTTTGTGGTCTTTGCGACGTGAATCTATGTGGGTTGGGCCCAGGGCCCAGGGAAAACAAAGCAACAAAACTTTGATTGGGAAAGTCTTTGTTTGGGTTTGCGTTTTGCCGTCAGGGGTCATATTTCATTGAACCGCTCGAAAACTTTGAGTTTCGTAGTAATAATTATTGGGAACATGGTGAACCCAAAACCAAATCATTGGTTGGTCCCTCAACAAAGGTAGCCACATACGGGTAGTGACCTTGTCGGTTTTGAAGGCTGTGGTCGGAGGGTTGGAGAGACCAGGACCAAGACCTGATAAAATCTGATCGCATAGTTCTTTACCCTGTATATGTCCTAGGTCCTATGTTAGCTGGGGATTGCTAGCGACTGCTGCTAGCGGGAATGGAACGGAGTCTTGTCAAGTCTTTCCTCACCAACACGTTGAGTGAGTCAAGTTGAATAGGCTCGATTCTAAGCGTGTCCAATTGAGCTGAAAGAAAAGTGGAGTGTGCGTCGGGTCGACTCTCATTCGTTTCAAAACTGCAGAGCGCGCTCAGCCTCGGAACTTGGACACATTCTCAGGCAAGGCGCTCGGCTCAACCTATCTGCATTCAAAGCCTTCAAAGTGCTCGCATCGACCAAGTGGAATCCGACTTGGATTCAGCCCAGGACACCCTTACCCCAAGCAAGCAAAGATGGTTGGATGCATGACTCCTGCAGATCATCGGCGCCTGCAATGGCGGCAAGTTGAGCAGTCACCAGATCACGCTGGGTTGCCTTGATCGAACTCTTGTAAGCCTGGACCAGCATGGCTTCGATCTTCAGCTCGCTTGCCTTGGCCGACCTCCCAATTGCCCGACTCAACTGCGATCGCAAGCCATCGATCTCTTCCAAGGGCTTGCCTTCTGCACTCTGCTTGGCCTCACCATGAATATCGATGAAAGCTTTTGCGTCGGAGATGGCCTCGCGCAGGTCATCAGGATTGTCATTGGTAGTCAGGCTTAACAGGTGAGAAGTCACTGTAGTCGAAGCTTGACCGTGACCATTGGCATCATAAGTATCATAAGTCTCTGGCCCATCCATCATTGACCCAGAAAGAAAATTGCAACAAGACTTCGCCCTCGGGGCTTCACCACTAACGACTGGAGTTCCTAAAGTCAAGTGAAGATAAGGCTACGGGCGGCTATCGGGGCTAGCGGGCTACAGCTAAGGTGGCTACGGCTAAGGTTAAGGTTGGACAGGCGTGCCTGCATCAAGAGTTGGGTTTGGTTGTGGAGCTTCTTGCCCTTCACCTGCATCACCGTCGTCTCTGCCACAGCAATCACTGAAGCTACTTCAGAAGCCTGAGCCTGAGCTTCCGTAAGGCTATCCTTCCACTTTGCTGCGGGAGACATGAGGTCATCCATTGCTGCAATGAGGGAGGTCATCTTCTCAGAGATGCCGTGGGCAAAATTGATTCGGTGGCAATTGATCTCATCGTCTGGGTTGGTAAGCATGTCGCGGAAGCTGCACTCAAGGCCACCCATCTTGATCCTCCCCATGTTGTGCAACTTTTGGCAGTGTGCCAAGAATCGATCAAAGGACTTGGACATAGAGTTGAGAAGGTTGAGGTCGACTTTGCCCTCAGGGAGTTCAGCATACTTCATCTTCTCTGAGATCACAGTGGCTCCGAACTGGCCGCACTCAATCTCAGACTTGAGAAGGGCAACCTCAGTCTCGTTCTCGGATTGTGCCACAACGAAGGAGAGCACAGCCCACATCTTTGTAGTCGCGCTTCCAGTCTTGGCCTGTTGGTAGAACAGGAACAGTGGGCGAAACCCTGGGATGGACTGGATCAAACTAAAGGGTTGGAACCTGATCTGCATCCAATTGTAAAGGAAAGCAAAAGCCAAAAGCAATTCACGCCCTACTTTCCCAATCACCCGTCACAAAGTAGTATAAAATATAAGAATAGAAGACATAAAATGTATAAATATATCTATTTTAAAGACTCGATGACTCAATCGCTACCAGCTACCAGGTACTGAACCACAACAGTTGCGTCACAGTGTCCTACTGTCGCTATACAATAGTATTACAATAGTTAATACATCTTCTGCCACCAAATCATAGCTGTAGCTCCCACCGAAATATGGATTGCCTTCACTTGTTTTTTCTTGCTTTGTTTGCTTTGGTGTAATAAGCGCGTGTAACAAGTTGAGTTTGCTCATCGGGTTCATTGGAACAGGCTGGGCGCACGCGTTCCCGAGTGATTGAACGGTAAGACAGCCAGGGGTTAAAACAACAAAGAAGAGCATGTTGTCGGGCAAGGCTGTGGCAATGGAATAGGGCATATGGTACACTGGGAACGCTTGTGCCTTACGCTTTCAACCTAAAAGGGTTGAACCTTTGTTGAACGTATGCCAAACGCCAGTTATGTACTTATATACATATACCGGATGGCTTTTGGTGTCAGTGCCCGTAGCTGCCTCTAGAAAGTCCACTCTATATCCTCCTAAAGGCTCTAGTCTGGACCCTAGGCCCTAGGCTCTATGTCTATGTCGTCCCTACGTCCTGGTTCCTTGGTCCTTGGGTCCTTGGGTTGATGCTCCACTTCTCAAACAAACAGACTACAGGCCTTGTCCAAAGCGTTGGCGAACAGGAAAGGTGTCAGCCCAAACAGTTTGGCGGCTGCTGCTGGGGCCAGCTTGATGCCCTCGATCTGCTTGAGCATTTTGCTTAAGCTGTCCCACTCCACAGAGGCCCAATCCATGATCCCATCCACGAACTTCTCCATATCCTGCTGCAAGAAGGAACCCTTCATGTCAGAGTACCACTTCTGCAAAGCTTCTTGGTGGCGAGTGGCTTGTGGGTTGGTCTTGAAGAACTCCAAAGCTTTTGGAAGAACATCCATGGCCTTTGCAAGACCTGCCACCTCAAGACCAACCATGTCAGAGCATTTGGTCACAAAGGAGACTGCCTTGCCAAGTTTCTCGAAGACATAGGTCTTGTATCCGTTGAAGGAACCAGGCCTCAAGCCATCATTGAAGGCCTGCAAAGACTTCACGGCTTCAATCAACCAATCAGTGGTTGGCGGACCGTCATCCTGATCATTGTCCATTGCCTCAACGCACTTCTTCAAGAGTGGTGTCAAGATTTGAGACTGGGAAGCGTGGCGCCAGAACTCGGCACACTGCTCCTGCCACCACTCCGAGGCTGTGATCAGCTGCATGATGGCACTCTCTGGCCCAGAAGACTGTGCTCCCACTGAAGTTGAAGAGCCTTTCACGGTGGAAGCGGCCTTCTTCTTGGGTCTTGAGATTGCTTCAACTTCAGCCGCACTTGCAGGAAACTTTGGAGTGGGGCTGCAAATGGAAAGAACGCCCTTCAAGCAGCGCACAATGACTGCCACAGCGTTTGCGGGCTCGGAATTCAATCCACGAAGGGCTGCCTGACTCTCCTCCAGAGCATGGTCAGCAAGGATTGCCTCACAAAAAGCGGTCAGCTGAGGCACTGTCTTCGGGGCTGCTGACACCAAATGAAGGAAATAGTCGCTGATCGCTCCATCTGTGATGCACTGCGCAATAGCCTCACAAGAAAACAGTCAGTAGTAGTGTATCCGACGCGCAAATCGCAAATCGGAATTGGATTGGAAAACAGTCAGGTCAGAGGATGGGAGTGCGTTGGCAATATTGGTGAATATTGAATATGGTGTATGCGCCAAAATTGTAAGGTAGGTCTCAGTTCAAAAAACCTTGGGTTTGGGTTGCTTCAACCGGAAACGTTTAACACATCTCTTGTTTCTCCTCTCAATCTCTTAGTCATAGACTCCTTAGACTCTTCTCTTGCCTTTGATTGACTCTGGGGTGAATTTGATCGAGCCCACATAATTCGAGAGTTAGCGTTCCAGAATCTAGAGTCTAGAGTCTAGAGGTTGGGTACGGGTAGGGGACTCCAGGCCTTCCAATCCATGACCAAGTCTTCCTTGGCAGCCTTGTGCTCTGATCGATCTCCCTCTTCTCCATCGCTAGCCTCGTCCATCGCCATCTGCAACTTCAAGGCCTTGTCAGCTGCGATGTCAATGAGAGGGCGGATGCGAGGCTGCAAAGGATTGAACTCACCACCATCAGGATCGTCATCCTTTGACTCGCGCCATGGGCTCCACATCACCAAGAACTTGTCCATGCAGTTCTCGGAGCACTCCATGCATTGTCGCAGGATCAACTTCACCTTCATTGGCATTGGCAGGTCCACACCCTCGTTGTGGATCACACCCAAGCTCTGATGAAGTTCTAGGCCGTTCATGATGTCCAGGCGCTCAGCCAGGTTCACCGCGTGCTCACATAGTTTCAGCCTCTTGGACAACAGCAATGCCTCTTTACACTGCTTTTCCTCGAGGGTCTGCACGATTTTGCGGGCCTGGCGCCAGTGCAGACCATGACCAGGATAGGGTGGTTTCTGAACCTTTGTGTGTGTGTGTGTGTTTTACTTAGCAGCTTGATTACTTATATTAATATTGTTGCTTTACAACCATCGAATACATTGTTCACGGTCTCAGATGCGCTGGCTGCGATGGCCTAGTCTTGGACACAGTTACAACAATTACAATTCATGGTGCCTGATGAATATGGCAGTCGTAAATGCTGTGTCAAAAAACCTAGCTAGCCCAAACTTTCCGAGCTGCTAATCGCTAGCCGCTAGCCGCTAGCAGCCGCTAGCAAAGGAAATTTGTAAGTGGCGCTAAGCGGCCATTGCCCCTACACTTGCACTGTAGCCATTTCTGTTAGTGGGAGGTTGGCACAGTTACCCTCACGCGTTCCCACTTGCAAGCCTCAATGATTGAGTTTGAATGTATGCGTGATTTATGTAGTTAAGTTTAGCTGAGCTGGACAAAGGCGACAAAATGGAAACGAGGCAGGGGCACACCGGTCAAAGTTCTCCCCAATTTGAAGCCCTTCAAGATCTTGGCAACATCCAAATTCCGCACAGCTTTGGCGTCACCACCGATCTTGGCGACAATGCTCCTGGCAAGGTCGTCATCCTCCGCACCAGCCTCATCGCCAGAAACATGCTCAGGCACGTTGGCAGGAACAGGCGGCGGCGGTGCTTTCTGGCCCCTGCTCTTCTGGGCCTTCGGTGCCTTCGGCGCAGCAGGTCGCTGGGCCTTCCTTTTCGCAGGAGCCTTGGCGGGCACGGTATCAAGCTCATCTTCCAGAGTGTTGATTTTCTGGAAGGTTTCGGACTCCATTGGCACATCGGCTGCCTCAGCACCCACAGCACCACTTTCCTCCATTGCTTGTCTCTTCTCGATCAAGGATTTGGCACGCTCTGCCATGTCTTCCAACGAGTAAGACTTCGCATCCTTCTTGCGAAAGGGTATCGAAGTCTTGCGATCCCCACAAAGCTTCTGGAAGCGTTCTAGTGGCTGCTCACGGCGGAGCATTCCAGCTGGCTCAATCAGGTGACGGGAGTGGGCCAAACTGCACCTTGAGAAGAAAGACGCTGTGCGAGGGTGGTCAGGGCTCTCAAAAAAGAAGTACTTGGTCTTCTCGCCGTCCTCATTCTCCAGAATCATATTCGGGATGTCATCGCTTGGAGGGATCCTTGAACTGAGGCATCAAATTTCCGCCCACGCAATGGTTCTAGTCGCTCTTTATTTTAAACATGAACTCATTAAACTCTCTCACCCTCTCTCTCTCTCTTTCTCTCTCTCTCTCTCTCTCTCTATCGCTATATCTCTTTTGCCCCTATTGTTTTTTCGGGTTTCCAAGTATCCCAGCAACGAAAACCAAAAGAAAACCAAACAACGGGCTGAGAGGGTGGCCTGGATGGTTTTTTGCCTTTCCCTTTTGGAATGCTCGAAAAGGATTGGAATAGCTACACTAGCTACATTTGCACTTGTCTTTGCCACCAAATGTGTTCTTTTTGGATTAGCTTCTTGAACTTCTGAACAAATTCGTCATCAGTGAGGATGATGTATTTCTTCTCAAGGAGGATTCCAACCAAAGTCTCTGAATCCACGCTGGCTCGTGTTTTGAACGGCTGTTTGAGGGTGCCGTCTTTGATCTTGCCAGCGGTGTCAAAGGATCCACGCACTTGGGGGCTCTCACTGAAAGCAATGCAAAAAGCTTGCCACGACATCGCTGGAAACACATCGTACGCGAGTTCAACGCAACGAACACATCCGTCCGGTTGAGCGAACTTGAGGTCCTGCGGGCCAAGTGAAACAAGAAGAACCTGTTGAACCTGGTGTGTAGATCATGAACCTGCTGGCGAAAACTAAACGCTCTCGGACTCAGAGGTGGGGGCTGGCTAGCATAACAAATTCAGCAAAATGAACTGAAAGAGAGGTTGGGCAGTTTTCATTTGCCGTTGTTTTGATCTTAGTCTACATTGTCTACAGTCTACAGTCTACTGAGCCTACTTGCTCTTGAAAGCCTTTCTTGTTGAGGTGAGAACGTCTCTGGACATGGTTGCTGGTCTCAGGTTCTTGTTTCCGAAAGGTTTTATCATATAGTCATATAGAATATAAAAATTGAATATAGAAAAAGGTTGTTTTCGTGTTTGCGCAGACTTCGTATTTTGAGATGTCCTTCGAGACCTTCCTCTTGCAAGGAAAGCAAGCTGCATCCTTCGGAATGATGATCTCGTCGCCCCCAGCTCTTGTGCCAGAAGCATCCTCCCAGAGCATGCTTCTCAAGCTTACCAACGCAAGAGACTAGCGCAACTCAAGTGGCTTTTGTGGCCAGGGCAAAAACACGCTTGGATTGAAACCCTTGAGAGTTCAGTTCAGCGTTTAAAGTTTAAAGTTTACGTGTCTTCTTCTGTGGCGCACAGGTTGCAAACATCGACAAAAATATTGACTCGCATTATCCTGGGCTGCGCCTTATTAAAATATTGCTCAGGTGCTTTTGTTTCGCGGTCTTTTCAAGAGACCTGAAAACCTCTATTTGTTTTCTCCAGGGTGCGACTTAGTCTGAGTCCAGGTACAAGTCCCGCCCGCAGTGCACAGTGTGCCAGTGAGTGTACTTGACGCTTCTTTTGATCTTTCTTTCTGCCATTGTTACCATTGTTATATTTTCTAGCTTCGCAATCCACCTGAATCTACCCACAGTGACCTAGTTACGTAACGCTTTTGTGAGGTACTGTGTACTGTCTCTTGTGAAAAGCGCAATTTTCCCATCAGGTTTACTCATACTCGACCTATCTATCCATCCATCCATCCACCCAGCCATCCATCCATCCATCCATCCGTTCATGCATCCATCCATCCTTCCATCCATCCATCCATCCGTCTAGTCACTAGCCTCTAGTCACTAGATACTCTAGTCACTGGTCCAGGGCTATACTAGTTGCTAGTGACAGTGGCTAGGTACCTACCTAGGTTGCGCGCAACTTCAACAAAAATAACTCCATCATATGGACTCATAGACTCATCGTTAGCGTTACAGACAAAGACTGCTGGACATACACGGGACATAATCTTCTCCAAGCCAAGCACCACAAACACATTCACATACATTGATACACAGCGCTTGTGCACAATGAACATGCACGCCCAAGCCATACGACATACGAGCAAGCGCTCTCACAACAGGAGCAATGCGCCCTTCTCGTTGGTCAGCTTCTGCTTCTGGCAAAACATTGGAACGCCCGGTGTTGCCAAACCACCACAATAAGTCCTTCCTGTTCCTGTGTTCGATCAGACTAGAGTAGTCCAAAAAAGAAACCCGGAAGGCCTTTCTCCCAGCATCTTTCTGCATCGTAGGTCGTCGTAGGTTCGCCACGAGAACGGGGCGGCAAATGAACAACTGTGACCAGGGCGGCCAACTGCTCTGCTTTGCTCTGAGCCGCAGTCCGTTTTCAATGGATGAAACCCAGTAACTAAAACAACTGGAATTGCGCTCGTCTGATACCCTTTGCCAAAACTGAATGCTCATGTCTATGTAAAATCATGATTAGAGTACACTGTAGCTGCTCATACAGGACCTATCTACAATCCGCAGTATCACAGGTGCGAGGCGAGACTTACCCCAGTGGTGGGTGAACTCTTCTTGTGAAGCTCGACAAAAAAAACCATTTCTGCAGCATGGCGGAATTCTCTTACCGCATCCAATTCAACAGCCGCCAAGCCTATTTTTTGCTTCTCCCTGCAAAGTCATCCATAGTCTGGCTCCTGGTAAAAGGCCTTAACGGTGGCAGCTGCCATCGTATATATAATCTCACAGCTTTGCCAAAATCAGAATAGAACAAAGGGGAGGCATGAAGTTGGAAAGTTGTTGCACTATTCTACATTCTACAGATTTCACTAGCGCTGTGAGTCTTCAATCTTTAAATCCATAGGCCTGCGCCAGGGCCTGATCCTATCCCCAAGCCAAACTGCTAGTTGAGTTTAGCGTTCTAAAGAAGTCGTGGCTGCATCCTTGTCCCTGCCAACGGTGTCAGATGCACCTGAACGAGGACCGGAAGCATCGACAGAGTTCGAATTGCGCATTGCGCTTTCATCCTGGTTGCGATTACCATTACCAGCACTCACAGGACGTTCGGGCAGCGTGTCTGGGTGCTTCTCGTCCCAGTCATCTGGCCTGAGAACCTCCCACTCCTTGTCTACCTGCTCTTGAGCCAGCTGGATGACTCCCGAGACCTCTAAAGCGTCCAACCGGGCGTGGGCATTGTCCAAAACCTTGTCATACTCGAACTGGAGGGCCATATGCTCCTTGGTCAACGCATGAAGCTGCTCTACCAATTCCCCGTTGCTCTCGAGCAACATCTTGTTACGGTGAACCATTTGGATGAGGAGCAAGCTCTTGAGGTCTGATGTGTAGCCCGCTGGGCCTCGCGTGGCCAGCGCCCTGGTAGCGACACCTCCAGGAGAAACGGAGCCGTTGCTTTCGAACAATGCCTTCTGACGCTTCCACTCTGCCTCAATGGCAGAGGCTACAAAAGACACACCGTCGTGGTAGGACTCCAAGACATTCATCGAGGCCGCTGCTCGCTTCACTCCAGTCTTCACTTGGTCAGCCGATGCCATACTGGAAAAGCTGCAGCTATGGCTAAGAATCACGAAAAGGAAGGAGGCGGGACTCTGTCTTGGACCAGGACTGGAAGGCAAAGCAAAACTGACACAGGTATGGCTGAAGCGCTAACAAGCAACAAAGATGCAATGATTGAAGAACGCAACTTTGCTACTTGATATCGGCTCTAGTTGACTCTAGTTTTAGACATCTTCCACAGCCAATTGAAATGCACAGTGCACAACCTGCTACTTGCAAGTCTGACAAAAACCGTCTCGCAAGTCTAGCCGCCAAGCTGATAGCCATTCTGTTTACACTTACACAAATGCAAGCTAGTGATTGGCAAAAGCGAGTAGCCATGGTCAGTGTGGTGGAGACTGGGCCATGGATACTTGCGCCATGGGCTCTATGCTGTAACTGCTTCCAACTCTAGGTCAATTTAAGTTCAAGGCGATTCAACAGCAACAGCAACAAGTCCGTGAACTATACATAAGCTGCTCATCCAAATACCAACAGCGTAAAGTGGACACGACATGGGAACCCCTTGGAAGCCTCGAAACGGTACCTGGTACCTGCTAGCTGCGTCAAAGAAACGCATTCTCGCAAAATCTGCAAGGTCTTCCTGCTTGCAGCGCTATATCTGCAACTCTGCACTCCCTGGACAGCCAAAGCAACACTTGCCAGTGATGCGCGCTCAAAAGAATGCCACAAATATCCAAAACAAAAAGGCCTGTCAGAATCGAAACAATAGTAAGTGGTCTCGGTTTGGTTTCAGTTTTCGTTTCCCATGAATGTACAAATACATACGCATTTGCGTAAATTATGCACTATGAACCGCACCCAGGACGTTGAGAGTTGACACTTCTACGGTGAATTGGTGGCCATATGGCACTCAACCCACGATTCTGCATCTCACACCTAGGGACTCGTGCCAAAGCAATCATGTTACTTGCTACTACTAAGACTACTGCTGTTAGGTGCTTCACCGGCCCAAAGGCTTGCTATGAGATGCTCTGAATCAATCCCCGCTGATTGTGGGCAACTTCATGGAATGAGAAACTAACCAGGAACTTGCACCGCTGTCATAACAGTGACATAGCAGGGCCCAACATGGGGCATCCTTGAAGCCACTGGTCATTAGTTACTAGTTCCTAGTCACTACCTAATCATTCATCCATGCTTCGGAGCCCGCCGCTCGCTGCTACAAAAAAAGTCTGACTGCTCTCACTCCAAAGAAGAGCCTGCCTCATTACTTGCCTTGCCCATAGTCAACGTTCCAGATCAGAGAGAGGAGGATAGTAGCCAAGCAAGGAAGCGTCATTCCCTCCCCGGCGAACTCCTTGATGTCGCTGGATGAGACCTGCTGTGGGACCTTCAAGCTTCGAGGAAAGCCTTGCCACCACAATGTCTCAAGTGGGAGAACCACACGATCCAGCCCATAGCTATAAAGGGTGGTGCTGGTGGTGAGGCACCGGTGCTTGTCAGCATGGGTGGCAGACCTGCGAGCGTGGGACTGGCTGTAATCCAGCATGGTGTGCTTCAGCTCAGATTCCAAGTTCTCAGCAGTAGTGTTTGAAGTTACCAGCTTCTGAATGGCAATGCAGTTCACCAGGTCCAAGACACGGGCGCTGCGACTGAGTCCCCGTCCCTCAAACCCAGGTCGCGATGTCCAAGGACTGAAAGTTGGAGAGACACCAACCTTGTCCCTAAAGGTCAAAGACTCCTTTTTCCAAGTCAGGAACCTCTCCCCAGGGTCCTTGGCACCATAGTTGCGGTTGGCCTTGGCAGACCATTGGGCAGCGTTGGGCCATTTGGCTATTGACTATTGAAAATTGATGGATTCGATGAAACGGGTTCACAGCTTCTGAAGCTTTGCGATCCATGATTTCGGGTTCCCCCATTCAAGTACGTCGTACCTCTTATGTCTTACGTAGAACCTAGAACCCTAGAAAAATGAAATTGTCGGGAGCCTTAGCGGGGGCTTGACTGAAGACTTGGGCGTTCAAGCATTCCTCTTGGCGCCCGCAAAGGGCAAGCGTGAGGCGTGCATTTCTGGACTTTTCAACAAAAAGAAATGCAAAAACGTGCAACAATTTGTGCCCTAGCGAATATAGTGGCCAGTGCCAGTTGGAAGCCCTCCTGGCCCTACTCATGATCTGCAAAATTGTACAAAAACATCGACGAAAACCTGTCCAAATACACCACAAAGCAACAACCAAACTTGCTCGTGTCAAATTAAAATAATAGAAAAATCAACATAAATTAAGAGCCTACAATGAGTATTGAGCGCTTAGGTCGACAGAGCCCGCGACAAACATATGAAAACACATGAAATTTGAATCAAATTTGCTGTGCATTTTTTTAGAAATATGAAAAAAATGTAATATTGATTTCGCATTTTTTTCGTAATTTTTAAATATATGAAAAAAAATAAAAATTAAGGTCGTATTTTTTTTGTTTTTTTTTTTTTTTTCTTTTTTTTTTTGTTTTTTTTCTTTTTTTTTTGTTTTTTTTTCGTATTTTTTTCGTATATTTTTTGTGCATTTCGCATTTTTTTCGTTTTTTTTGTATTTCGCATTTTTTTCGCATTTTTTTCGCATTTTTTTGTTTTCTCGTATTTTTTTCGTATTTTTTTCGCATTTTTTCAATTTACAAAAAAAAATGTAAATGTCAAATCGTATTTTTTCGCATTTTTTGAAAATGTAAACTTTGGGTGGTTTCCAGCGCTCTTGTTTAAAAAAATACAAAAAAACAAAATGCTGCCCATTTTTTCGCCATAAAGGTCTCAACGTTTAGGATTTAGGGTTTAGGGTTTAGGGTTTGAACTTGCACAATGGTTATGGCAAGCTCCCCATGAACACTCAAACCTCTAACTTGACAAGGCTAGCGGCTAATTAAACGCTTAACCGGCTTAACCAGAAGAAGGAGGAATGCAATTCAAAGTTGGTGTGGGCGAGGGTT